CTATCTATCTATCTATCTATCTATCTATCTATCTATCTATCTATCTAACATCTGGTCTGCACCACATTTCTTCTTCCGTGTCCAGATCAAACTTTAGACTGCCAGAATGAAGCCACTTTCTTGGCATTGTTGTTGGCCAAAAATAAGTCATCATCGGTACATGTTTCTGGTAGTAGCTGACATACTAGCAGACGGGCCAAGGCTGTGTATCTCTCCACATACCCGCAATGTGTTGTTATCCACTGAGGACCTCCATTTGAGCTTATCGGTTCTACACTTAGGCACTCCAACTCTCAACCTGTTCAGGGTCCTCCAAGTAGTATAAGTAAGGGAGGTCATCCTTTAATGTTCTTCCTTGCTTGATGGTCTCCTTCTTCCTTCTTCTCACCACTCTCTCTCTCCTGCATAAAGTTATGTCTCACATTTGATGGTGCTATTTTGACTTTGTGTCCTTGTCTAAGTACAGTACAAGGAACGTAAGGCTTAAGAATTTCAAAACCCTCCTACTACCAAACCAAAACACTTAACTCCGCCTCCCCCACCCCTTTTAAAAATTCTTCCTATTTCTATTATCTATTTCCCCTATGTTCTTTCTCAGCTGCTTCATCTAGTGGTAAAAAAACTGAATCAATTTTCGTGGGCAGTAAGTTCGGTCAGCCACCTCCATCTCTTTATTTTCGCTGACAAGAGCTTTAAAGCTCAGCTGGTTGAACATACATTTTAGGAAGTTCTCAGAAGAGAAGCAGTGTGAAAACTTCAATCTCATCAGGGTGAATGTCTGAATAGAGATGTCAAGGTACGTAATGACATGAGCCATTTAATTTTTTTTGTGTGGGGGTGTGTGTATGATGATGGAGGGTTGAAGCAGGTTCAAATGTGATTTTAGTCTCTGGGTTTTTATAGTGATTAGTTCAGTACTGTTGTTTCAAACTCTACATAATGGAAATATAAGAAACCAGCAACCACACGCACGCCTCACTGACAAACTATCAGCATTTAAAGATCAAAAATACCACTTCCAAGAATGGGCAGTTTTAGGAACTACATTTTAAAAAATTATTATTATTATTTTGCAAGCAAATAGGGACATGTACTGTGTGATGTGATAGCCCATGAGGAGACGGGTTTTCTATTTTTATTGGATTTCATGCTTTTGATGTTTTTCTGATGAAATAAGTATATGGCTTTGCTCACGGGATTTACTAAATACAGATAGTCCTCAACTTACAATAGACCATTCAAAGTTACAACTGGCACTGCAAATAGTGACTTATGACCATTTTTCACACATGACCATTGCAGCATCCCCGTGGTCTGTGATTTACATTCAGATGCTTGACAACTGACTCATATTTATGACGGGTTGCAGTGTTCAGGAGTCATTTTGAGAAGCAAACGCAAAGGGGAAACCAGATTGACTGAACAGCCACATTACTAATTTAACCACCGCAGTGATTCACTTATCAAAGACAAGTTGTAAAATGGGTCAAATTCACTAAACACATTTTATTTTATTTAATAACATAAATTTTGGGCTCAACTGTGGTCGTAAATTGAGGATTACCTGTAGCTGTGATTGCTTCTGAGATTGTCTGTTCCCAGTAGAATTTGCCCAGCCAATACGTGCAAGCAGGTAGGGAGCATGGTGGGGAAAAAATTAGGAATCTCTGGAGCGAATTGATCCCATTTCCCAATCTTGCTCTGGAAGAGTTTGCTCCAGAAATCAAGCTGGGATTTTTAAAATATATATTGTCTCAATCTAGAGACCACAAAAACTGTGTTCTTCTTCGGAGCTCACAAAGAGAAGCTCACATAAGAGAGGCAGTAATATTTAAGACCGGTCCTAATGGCAACATTATGCTGGTTATGTTTTATGGTGATTTTAGACTATTTTATTGGCTATCCTTGTAAGACGTCTAGAATCAAGAAACTAGGTGGCCTACATGCAGCTTCACATATAAATACATTTTTATTGTTTTAACCATTCAGTCTTGTCTTAGTCTTGGCAACTTTATATGGCAAGTGCGACCCTGGGAAACACAGCTTCTTTCAGTTGTTAGATGTTCATTTTTGTATCAGATTTGATATTATCAACCCAGCGAGTTCTTTGCTTGTCTCTTCTTCTTGTTCCACTAACCGACGTAAAAAAGAATGTTGAGACTCTAGAAAGAGTGCAGAGAAGAGTAACAAAGATAATTAGGGGACTGGAGGCTAAAACATATAGAGAACGTTTGCAGGAACTGGGCTTGGCTAGTTTAATATCTTCCAATATCTCAGGGGCTGCCCCAAAGAAGAGGTAGTCAAGCTATTCTCCAAAGCATCCGAAGGCAGGACAAGAAGCAATGGGTGGAAACTCATCAAGGAGAGAAGCAACTCTCTCCTCTATTCTACTCTACTCTTCCCTAGAACTAAGAAATTTCCTGACAGTTAGAACAATTAATCAGTGGAACAACTTGCCTCCAGAAGTTGTGAATTTTCCAACACTGGAAGTTTTTAAGAAGAGATTGGATAACCATTTGTCTGAAGTGGTGTAGGGTTTCCTGCCTGAGCAGAGGTTTGGACTAGAAGACCTCCAAGGTCCCTTCCAACTCTGTTATTCTATTCAAAACCATTCCCAGCATCATTGCCATCTCCAAAGAATTTGCACGCATGACCCGGCCAAAGTAAACCGGAGATAGTCTCATGATTTTGGCTTCTAGTGATGTGTCTGGTTTTACACAATTCAGCACCTTTCTGAGCTAAATAAACAACAGCATGTATTTAACACGTTTGCAGTCAATAACATGCCTACATAGATGAGGAACTTGTAAAATGAATGTGTGTTGGTATGCTAGACTTTCATTATGTCTCTGCCACCTCCGTCTCGCAAAATTAGCTGGCAGTGAATTCTCCCATGTCTCAGTCAGATTTGGGTATTTCAAAGCAGTTCTTAATGGTGCATCTTATTTGCATCTGTTGAGAAACAGATTGAATTGAACCCCATAAAAATCAAGGAAACTACAATCGCTTTTCTTCGACTTCTAAAGACAACTAGAGAACATGTTGTATGGCCCATTTGACACTGCAGTGTGTAATCGGCTGTACAGCAAACAAATGTCATTTTTGTTCTTTTTTTTTTTGGTTAAAACTATCTTTGCATATTTTAAACAAACTGCAAGTGTAAAATTTTACGTTTACAGTGCATGCAAATGTAAAAAGCAGCTGATTTGGGAACTCAAGCTTATTTAAATCTATTGACAGCTCTTAGCAACATACATACCCTATCTAGATATTTCTCAAATGTATATGGGTGCCCATCTACCATGGGGACAATAACAAAATAAAAACATAACATGGAAATCAAAGAACAATGTCAAGGACCAGATACAACTATGCTGTTAGTCATGCTGTGCTTCATTTAAATCCCACTCCAACACCTGCACAGCTAATTGTTCATGGCTATTTTTTTTAATTGCCTTTGAGACGGTTTTTGATTCTTGGTGATTGCCTACATAAAGGCTCTGTGGTTTTCTTGGCAAGGTTTTTCAGGAGGGGAGGGAAGGGCAACCACTTTTCCTTCTTCCTAGGGCTGACAGAGTAGGATTGGCTCACAGCAACCCAACTGGCTTTGTGCCTAAGTTGGAACTAGAACTCACAGCCCCCCGGAGTATAGCCTTAACAACTATACCAAAGTGGTGCTTCATTGCCTTTTTTTAATAAAAGTTTTTTATTTTTGTTTTTTACACAGCTCTTCACGTGAGCAATGTGATTCCAGATTGCAACATTTATGCATAATTATACTTACATTTTCGACTTTCTTATTTAATATCACATCAAATTATTATCCACTCCACTAATCTTCAAATAAATTTCCATTTCATATTTTAATTCATTAATTCAATATCAAAATCATTTCCTCACATATATTTTCAATTCTTTATCCCCTATTATTTCCATTTTCAGCTTACCACCTATTTACCTTATATATTATTATCTTCATTAATTAACTCAAGACCAATATATAATAAAACACTAAACAAAGAGTAAAATTAGAGTAAAATGAATGTATTTAAGATCCACATGGCATAATCCTTAGTCTACAATATATCTTATATTTATTCCAACACTATTCATATAACCATTTCATATTTTTTCTTTATTTTCACATAGCCAAATTTTATCCCTGTAGTTTAAATAAAATTTCATTCCCCTACTTTTATAATTCATCTTCACTCTTCTCATATATAATTATATAATACTCTTAGGATAATTCCCAATAAATTTTGAATTTCAAATCTCCCCATTTTAAATTTCTAATTAAAAATACCCAAATACATTCCGATGTGGCATCCCCCTTTTATATCATATCTAACTCTTGTGTCTAAAATTCTCAACCTTGACATTTCTCTTCAGATAGCTTTCCCTTTTCTAAGTTTTCCCGATTTTTCTTTTTTATTTCCATCTGCCAGTCACCCATCACCCTTTCCTGTTGCCTTTTTTGAAGTTTCTTCTTGTAGATTTTTTTCTTCTTTTGTTTAATCCTGGGAATGTTTTCTCTTTTATTTGTTAACTCTGTCATCATTGCCATAGTTTTAGTTCCTTTAATGTCTTTTGGCAATATCTCTTGTTCTCCATGTATGTCTGAGTCAGTTTTCTCTTCCTTTAACACCTCCTCTTTGAAATTCCTTTGTTCTGCTACGAACTGTATCACCATTATTATTATTTTGTCAGTATGTCCAATAATTCCCTTCTTTCTTTCAGCATTCCTTTCACAGTTTGCAATTCCAACTTAAAGTCTTTGCTTATTTCTTCCATTTTTTAATCAATTGAATTATTAAAATTCAAAGCCTTTTGTTCCGATCCTTGCCAGAAATCTCCTTTTGTCCTTTATTAATCCTTCTGTCTCTTTATCACAATCAACACCCAACAGTCCCAGGATATTGCATTCGTTTGTCCTCTTACTACAATTTCTCCCCCTTTTTTAAAATTCCGGGGTTCTTATTATTTTGTTAGTCTTTTATCTCATAACAATTATAAGACCAGTAATTTTCCATAAAATCGTGAAGAAAAAAAATGTTTAACCATTAGAAGGTGCTCTGTATCACTTTCCACTTTTCAAAATTCTTTTCTTTTCTCTTTTCAATTACATTAATGTTAATTTTCAGCCATTTCCACTATTAGCTTTCTTAAATATAGTCAACTCCAGGCAAGTCCAGCATTTAGTCAATGCCTAATTAATGCCGAATTATATATATTATTCCAAGTTTAGCCTCTAATTTCTTTGTAGCTTTTTATAATCCAATTTTGTTTACCTTGTATTTCCTCTTATTTTCTGTTTCCCACTGTCAGGCTCTTAAGCGAAGGCTCTTTCTTTCTGCTTCTCGGGGTTATTAAGAAAAGAAATTAGTTCTTTTATCTGGTTACATGTCGCTCACCACTTCACCGCTCCAGTGCAAAACTTAGGTCCTGGTGGCTTCCCGTCTTCAGGGCAGCCATTAAATTGCTGTTTCGCCTTGTCTTCCAGGGGAGTTAATACCTAACTGGGGAGGGGAGATGCGGCTCCCCTCGACCCAGCTAGCAGTCTCCCCCTCTTCCCCCAGCCCTCCGAGGTGGGTCAGATGGTTCTGGTCCCGCAGGGACCCTTCCAACAAGGTAAACATGGTTCAAAGCTGCACACGATTGCAGTCTCTGGTCCATCTTTGATGGAAAATGCCCAGGTGCAGACCGTGCTTCATTGCCTTAAAAGTATAGCTTCAGAGCCATGGTGGCGAAGTGGTTAGAGTGCAGTACTGCAGACTACTTCTGCTGCCTGCTGGCTGCCTGTAATTTGGCAATTCAAATCTCACCAGGCTAAAGGTTGATTCAGCCTTGCATCCTTCCGAGGTGGGTAAAATGAGGACCCAGATAGTCAGGAGTGATAGGCTGACTCTGTAAACTGCTTAGAGAGGGCTGCATTGTGAAGTGGTATATAAGTCTAAGTGCTCTCTCTCTCTCTCTCTCTCTCTCTCTCTCTCTCTCTGTCTGTCTGTCTGTCTCTCTCTCTCCACTAGAGCTGCGGTGGTACTGTGGTTAGAATACAGTATTGCAAGATAATTCTGCTCACTGCTAGCAGTTCGATCCTGACTGGCTCAAGGTTGACTCAGCCTTCCCTCCTTCTGAGGTGGGTAAAATGAGAACCCAGATTGTTGGGGGCAATAGGCTGACTCTGTAAACCACTTAGAGAGGGCAGTAAAGCAGTATATAAGTGCTATTGCTACTGACAAAGCCCAAGGGCTTTGTGAGAGTAGTAGCAATGGTTTACAGAGAAGAAACAAGTCTAGAGTTTCATTCCTGCTAAGTTAATTAGGAAATGATGAGCTACCAAGAAATGTATGGAATCATCTCAGTTATTTCTGCCATTTTTCTTACACAGCAGTGAGAACTTCCGTAATGAATCGAACCTATCTAATGGGTCCACATGTAGAATCCAGGATGGCTTTCTGATGGAGACCCTTCCTGCCATGTACTCCATCATCGCCGTCATCGGGTTCGCTAGCAACCTCCTGGCGCTCTGGGTGTTCACTTTCGGCACTCTGAAAACCAACTCCATCACGGTGTACATGAAGCACCTTGCCATTGCCGACCTCTTGCTCTCCGTCTGTTTGCCCTTCCGGGCGGCTTACCAGAAACACAGTGGCCCTCCTGTCCTCTGCAAGATGGTGGGCATGATCTTCTACATCACCATGTACGTCAGCATTCTGCTTCTCAGCTTGATCAGCCTGAACCGCTACTTCAAAATCATCAAGCCCCTTCAGCACTTCCGAATCCACACAACGTCGTTCAGCCTGGCCATGTCCATGGTGGTGTGGGCCATCTGCTTCGTCACGATGCTTTGCTTCCTTTTTGACACTAATGAAAGCGGGCCCTGTGACCACAAGTGCTTCCATTTCAAGTACCGAAGCACCAGCGCGGGCATCCTGAACATGCTGGCGGTGACTTTTTTTTTCCTTTTGCTCTTCTTCTTCCTTTATTCCTACGGTAAAATCTCCCTCAGGCTCCGTGCGGTCTCTTTGAAGAAAACCCAGCAGCGTAGTAAGAGGATGAACACCAGAATTGCCATAAAGACTTTTGTGGTTTTGGTAGTCTTCATCGTATGCTTTGTCCCCTACCACATGGTCCGAATACCCTACATCCTTGCCCAAATGATGATCATTTCTGAACAGAACATCCAGGCCCTCCACCTTGGAAACGAACTGGTCCTCTGCATTTCAACCCTCAACTGTTGTTTTGATCCTGTGATTTTTTTCTTTCTGTCCAGCAGTTTCAAGAGATCCTTGCTGGACACCACCCTGCGAAAGCTAAAGTGGGTTTCTCAAAATAACCAGAGAGTATTGTATGTCAAATAATCCATCACAGACTTCACGGTAGAGAAGGACTAAGTTGTGTAACTAGGATAAACTTCTGGATAGGAGTTCTTCTTGCTAGATCAGCCTTCTTCAGGATGGTGAGGACTAGAAGTTGTGATGATTAAAAGCTCTAGTTAAGGATTTTTTTAAAAATTCAACAAGTCTAGAAGGTACCAGGACCCAGAAACCTGAACTTAGACATCACTCAGTGAAAATACCGATATATGTTAAGAGGAAACACAACCTACAAATAGGATTTTTAGTTCCTATTAAGGATGTGCTATATTTGAATTTTTTTCTGAGAAACCTCAGACAAAGCAAAAAAGACTATGAATGTTAAAAATAATTAGTGAGAGCTGGCAAATATGGTATGTGTAGGCAGAAAACTGAGTAGGTTGCTTTTAAAAGTTTGTCAATCTGTTCTTATGATCTTAAAATTTTTGTTTATGCTTGGGCAAAATCTTTTCTCAGTGATTCTACTTCGGTCTTCTAAGGAAACAGGAAATATTCTGGCCATTACCTTCCACATAATTTTTCTAGCACCATTTACCAAAACTGGGAACCAAAGGTTTAGGAAGGCCCTCAGCTGTTGAAATGCATTATTATTTTTGGGTTCTTTGTAAACACAATTTTCTACATATTCATCTCCAGATTAAGGAATTGTTGGTTGAAAATGATTTCTTGCAAGTCTTATTTGCTCACAGTAACCCTTTAAATGGGAACAATAATTCTTGGAAGGCATTTCTCTTCACCTCAAGGAAGGAAACAAAATCTTCCAATAATTATTGTGAGTTTGAATAGAATTGGGTCTTTCTATATGTCAGATCTGGGGATTTCTAAAAAAATGGGGAAGCTGCTGAATGTTAGACATCCTATGGATGATGAGATGAACATTATCGTTTGTAAAAAAATCCCAATATTAAAATTGGTTTAAAATGATGTTTCATTTAAAGAATTTGGAGAAATTGATGGACAGGGTAATTTTTACTGGAAAGCAATTACATTTGATATTTTGGCTTTTTCAAGGATCGGAATAGACTTGCAGGCTTAAAAGAGGCAGGCAGCTAAAATCGAAGTGTTAACATCCTTTTCAGTGAAGTAGCAAGTTCAAGAGAGATATGTCTAACGCATTGCAAAATCTCACTTATGCAACGTACAATTATAACTGCAAAAAGCTACCAATTTTTGCTCTGCACTCACCGGTGTTCAGAAATATATTTAACAAGAAAATTCTTGCCATGGCAACACAAGTTTTCCTGCTCGTTATTTCTTTCATTTAATTTAACCCAGGTTAGGTTACTTTTACTTTATTTTCATTTGATTTATGGGGTGGAATAGAGCCTGAATTCCCAGGAGGGAGGGAATCCATTCCAGAGGACCAAGAGACAGCAAAGTTTAGATAGTTTGGTGGGAGAAAGAAAGTTAAAACAGCTCCTCCTTGGAAGTTCTCACAGTATATATTTAATAATGCCAAGTAGTTTGCTTTAGTTTGGCAGGATTTCTGTCTAGAGGTGAGGAAAAATAAAGAAATCTGTTTTGAAGTGATTTACTTTGTCTTTCTTAGTTTTAGAGCCTGACAGATGAAAGAACATCTTTTAAAAAAATATAGCCAGAGAAATTCAACAGTAAGACATTTTGTCACGCCCCTGGTGGAGACTGACTCTGAGGGAGAAAAGGAACAGCCAACAGGGAGTGGAAGTGTGGCTCCGGAGGTTGTGGAGGAGGCTGGGGAAGGGCAGAGGCCGGCTGAGCAGTCAGGAGGACCCAGGCCCATCCCCTATCCACCCTAGGGCACGCAGGGAGAAGAGACGTGGTCTCCTCAGGAGGAGAGGGCCTTGATCCTTTTCATGGGCTGCAGCTGTGACAACTGAATAAGAGTTTGGACCTGCGTACTGGCAAACGCTGGAAACAAATCGTGTAAATATCTCTAGTTTATAGTTCCTCTCTGAGTTTAGTGTCCTTCCCAGTGTGTGTTATCTGTGGACATCCTCCAGCCCTTATCCTTGCCTGGTTTGTGTTGCTTTTTTGCCTTCTTTGTGTAACTGTTTGTGTGAGAGTTTTTGTTTATCTTCCGTCAAAAGATATTCGGAGCTTGGAAGCAAACTGAAGGAATAAAAGGGGCTTCACTTTTTTTTTTTTTTACTGTGTTTGTTTTGTATCCCACCCTGGGTCATCACACTTTTTGGAAAAGGCACCGAATTAGCTAGTTTGTATGGGTAATCTTCGACTTACAACCACAATTGAGACCAAAATTTCTGTTGCTCAGTGAATTTTGCCCCGGTTTACAACCTTGTTAAGATTCAAAGTGAATCTTAACAACTTAACAAATCTTAACAAATTGTCTGAATTTTGACACATGATCCTGGGGATGCTGCAACGGTCATAAGTGTGAAAATCGGTCGTAAGTCTTTTTTTCAGTGCCATTGTAACTTTGAATGGCCACTAAGTGAACTGTTGTAAGTTGAGGGCTACCTGTATTATTTTTGTACGTGTATGTACCATTTTTGTACGTGTATGTACCAACACTTGTTTCATAAAAGAAATGGCACATTGTTTTGTTTCATTTTGTTTCTGCAGATTAAGCTAAGTGTAAACCAATCCAGGCCTTTGACACAAATGCACAGAGACTTAAGGTCTCAAGATCATTTAATACAAAAATACAAATAAAACTGAAATAAAAACAATTGCTGGCTAATCTAGGTAAGAGATGTCAACTCATAAAACATTCCTATGCCTGTTTTAGTAGTTGCCATTAAAAAAAAGGTGGGGGAGAGGGAAGGAAGGAAATCTGGAAGCTGTTTGCAGATCTGTGCAGCAGTTTGAAAGCGAAAGTACATTCCAACTCTTATCTTTAAAAGATTGTAACTAAACTACCAGAGCTTTTGCCCACGAATATATTGAATTGGAGAACGTGAATGATGACACCCAGCCTGGGAACGTGCTCAAAATGGGAGAATTTGATTTATGAGACACCCAGGGGGGAAGGGGGAAACAGGGTCACAGGTGACTGTAAATTACCTATATCAAACAAGAGCTTAATGTAACCTACAGGCACTCAAGCTTGAAATTGTGAGGGGATTTAAGTCCAGCTTCAATCCAGAAAGCTTTTAAAGAACTGTTATGGTTAGCCGGCAGCAGGTGCAGACGACTGAGGAGAGCGAGGACTCAGATGAGGGGCCAGGACCATTAGGGAGTGGACTGCTGCCTTCAGAGATTGTGGGGGCTGGCAGCAGCAATGAGGAGGTTCCCGAGGAGCCTGTGCCCAGTGTGCGTGTGTGCAGCAGGGTTGCTCATTGGAAAGAGCAGCTGCAGCAGCATGGGTGATTCAGGAGTAAGGCTGCAAGGTAATGGCCCCTCCTTCAAGAAGATAAAAGCCAGCTGTGAATCAGATGTTCTTTGCAGGAAGCAAAGACTTTTTGAAACTCGAGCCTCGTGGACATTGCAGTATCTTAGTTGGTATTTGAAGACTCTTGTGAAATATTTCTTATCTGTTATTCCTGGCAGCCTCGCACAGTTTTGGCGAGGCTCGTGCTTATCAAAGTTAATTAGTTTGCAGCAGCCTTTTAACTGGGGATTCGTAAGAATAATTAAAAGGTTTCTGTTCCCTTTGGTTCGTGTTTGTTTTATTGGAAAAGGGTTTGGTTCAGAACAAGAACAAAGAAAATTTGCAGGGAGAATTGGTTGAAAAGAATGCATGTCCTTTAACACTCCAATGTATAAACAGTACAACCAGGTGTAAATCAGTTTCTGTTTTACTCCTTGGTTGTCATAGCTTGACTAGGGGGGAAAAATGCTTCTCAAGCTTATAGTTGGAAGTTCCTCAAATTTTGCAAAAACCTCACCAGACGATGCTGATGTCCTTTGAAACTCCTTGGCGGGGCACCTGCAAGATATTCACACCAAAAATCAAGCATGGAAGGAAATTTCTTGCTGGGTTGGAGGGTTTTGTGGTTTGGAGATGCATAAGAGCCAGCTGCTTGAAGTTGCTTCACTCTTTTATTTTTTGCAAAGAGAGGCCATATGACCAGGTCTAAATTGGCACACACTCCCCCCCCCCCCCACTTTCCCTTCCACATCAGTTCCCCTTAAGAGGAACTTACTCCATTCTTATTTTTAACAAAATGCTGAATGGACGGACGTTATTGCAAACAACTTGTGGTTAAAGCTGGCCTCGGGCTAACCTTTGTCTTTGGAATCCATGGGTATTTCTGGCTTGGAAGCATGTTTTCTTGGCAGGAATCTTGGGTAGAGGTAGTCCTTGGTTTAGTTTTAGTGACCAAAGTTACAATAGCATTGAAAAAAGTGAGCTTTGACCAGTTTTCATACTTAACGACTGTTGCAGCACCCCCATAGTCACGTGATCAAAATTCAAACACTTGGCAACGGACTCATATTTACGACATATTTATGTTCCAGGGTCATGTGAACTCCTTTTGCTACCTTCTAATAAGCAAAGTCAACCGGGAAGCCAGATTCTCTTTACAACCGTGTTAATAAGTTAAACAACTGCAGCGATTCACTTAGCAATTGTGTCAAGAAAGGTTAAAAAATGGGGGGAAATTTACTTAGCAACCGTCTTGCTTAGCAACAGAATTGTGGTCATAAGGCCCAGTTTGATATGCATCATCATTTTAAATAATCAGAGGTTGCAGAGAAGAGCAACCAAGATGATGAGGCAACTGGAGGCTAAAACATACGATGAACAGTTGCAAGTACTCAGTAGGGCTGATCTAGTGAAGAGAAGGACCAGGAGAGACAGGATAGCAGTCTTCCAATATTTGAGGGTCTGCCACAGAGAGGAGGAAGGGATCAAGCTGTTTTCCAAAGCACCCAAAGGCCAGACAAGGAATAATGGATGGAAACTGATCAAGGAGAGATTCAACCAGGAAATAAGGAGAAATTTTCTGACAGTGAGAACAATCAATCTTTGGACGTTGTAGGAGCTTCATCACTGGAGGCTTTCAGGAAGAAACTGGACTGCCATCTGTCAGAAATGGTGTAGGGTCTCCTACTTGGGTGAGGTTTTTTGACTAGATGACCTACAAGGTCCCTTCCAACTCTGTTAATCTGTTAATCCAAAATATCTTTGGTGCAGTGCTGCATTAAAGTATTGTGGAAAATTTAAAAGGAGCATTAGTCTGCATCTATTTTCCGATATATATTTTTTTAAAAAAACCACCCCAAAAACCCAGAAACACAAATTGGGAAGAAGTAGCTGAATGATAAACTGAGAATGATCCATGTCAGTTTGGGATTGGACTGAGCTGTGTGAAATAGTTAACTTTAATATGCTGTGGTTGTCTTGTGGGAATAATTCCATAATTTTACTTATATAAACACAGACAAACCCTCCAAACCCAAAGGACTATTCAGATTTGCATTCGATTTCCATGTTAATGAATTCAATGGCAGTGGGGCCACCCAACCATCCATTCCAACCATCATTCCTGGTGGCAGATTAACTATCCTGGTTTAGAGCCAAAAGTTCATCAATTTTTCTTTCCAAATTACCCACTTTTAGGCACCACTTGTCTCAAATCCTGTCATTTTATCATGCAATTTGTAGAGATCTTAGTTTTTTGTTTTTATTAATCTGTTCAAGACTTCTCCGATCCTAAAATCCACCAGCTGTGGAACTTCTGCAAATGCCAATCCATCTTCCCAGTCTTTAGCTAGGAATTTGCTACCCGTTCTACACGCTTGCAATTAAACAGAGAATTTGACAACGCAGAAAGAATTTGGGGAGATTTCTACATGGGCTAATGTGGGCCAAAAAGAGGGAGAGAGGAGGAGGAGGAGGAGAGAGAGAGACAGAGACAGAAAGAGAAAATAAAATTAATAACTAAATGTCACACAAACCTCTGTGGAATGTCAGTGAAGAAACCAGATCAGGAAAGAGGCATGAGAAAATGGAGCCCCATCTTTTTTGGGTTAGATAAGGTAGATGAAATTCAAAGAATTTCAAAGAAAATAAGAACAAATAAGAACATGCAACCTTTCCAGATTTCCGTTGACTTTTTCTCGACATGGTCCTAGGGCCCCAAGACTCACAAATTCTTCTAAACATAAACCTCCTGGACTCACCCATGGCATGCATTGAATGGCTACATAAATCTGTTTAATACATAAATAAACACAGATAATCCTACTACCATTGAGTCCAAAATTTCTGCTGCTGAGTTACAGTTTTGCCCCATTTTATGACCTTTCCTGCCACAATTGTTAAGTGAATCACTGCAGCTGTTAGGTTAGTAACACCGTTGTTAAGTGAATCCGGCTTCACCCTTAATTTTGCTCATACAGAAGGTCACAAAAGGGGATCATAGGACCCCAAGGACACTGCAACCGACATAAATATGAGTCAGTTGCCAAGCTTCTGAATTTTGATCATGGGACTGTAGGGATGCTATAACGGTTGTAAGTGTGAAAACTGGTCGTAAGTCACTTTTTTCAGCGCCATTGTAACTTTGAACAGTCACTAAAAGAACTGCTATAAATCCAGGACTACCTGTAAACCTCAGGGACAAGAAGCAGAGTTTGATGCTGACAACATAACATTTGGAATGTACAAATTTCAAACCTAAAATGTCTTTTTGAAGCCTAATTCAACCCCTGTATGCACAGACATCTGAGTTTCCTAAAGTTCTTTTTTTTAAGTTTACAGCATGATTCCATCTTTTTAATTTGTTAGTGAATCAAAGCTTTCTGTTCCTCTAAGATAAGAAAAACACTTATTGCTGATTTTTTTTTTTTTAATTAAAAGCAGAGCAACAGCAAACAATTACAAAGTTTGAGGGCTAACGGTGACCGTAACAATCTTGTGACAAATGAGCAGCCATGTGAGGGACAGGATGAAGAGATCTCAGCGACTTATAACAAAACCACATCGGTCCTTACAAAATGTACCGAGAACACAACCCAAGTCGTACTTTTTTGCAAAGACTTTCTTAGAAGTTAGTAAATATAACTTAGTAGCTAATAAATACCAGACAGCTGTAGAAGTTGTCTTGATCCAAAGATCATATTTGCGCCACCTCTACATCTGATGTCTTCTGTGGTCAGGGGTCTCCAACCTTGGTAACTTTAAGACTTGTGGACTTCAACTCCTAGAATTCCTCAGCCAGCTTTGCTGGCTGAGGAATTCTGGGAGTTGAAGTCCACAAGTCTTAAAGTTGATAAGGTTGGAGAACTCTGTGTAGTGATGAAACTCATACAGTGTTAAGAAAATCAAGTTAGGAATGGCCTCGAGTACCAAATATCTTCTGCTGCTAAAAACTGAACTAGAAGTAGTCTAGTTGTCTAGAAGTCCTTAGGAGTGTTAAGAGCAAAAAGTGCTACTACATCAACCAAGTTAAAACAAAGTCCAAAACTACAGGCAAGAAAGGAGAGAAACGCGTACAGATCTGGTTCTTGCAAAGAACATCAACTCAACGAGGTATAGCAAACTATAGCTGGGCAAAATGACTTCAGACATCAGCTTGGAGCTCATGAGATAAATCCTGTTTCATGATCTAGCAAACCTAAAATATATTCCTTAAAGAACATGAGCATCTCAGGGAGAAAGTTCAACTAGACCTAAATTGCTGATGTTCATGTACGACTCTGGTTCCTTGGAGAAGCATTCTCTCTCCTGCTCCCCTATTTAAGATTGGAAATGTTGTAGTTCAAAATATGACTTCTGCAGTTTAGCGAGGTTCAAACTGTATCCTTCTAGATTTGGAGGAATCTTGCCAGTTTCCCCACTATTTTAATTCGAAAGCTGCAAAGAACAGAATGCTGTCTAAGGAAAAGGGTAGCTACTTCCTGATGTATATAAGAACTTGCAAAATTCATTTTCTAGAGTTTCTTACTTAGCAGGTTTGTATGTTCAATATAATTCTTGGAGGAACAAAAAGAATAGCTCTTGTTTTTTGAAGTGGATCAAGTGCTCAGCTTTGAACATAGGAAAGAGGGTTGACTTTCCTTAATTAGCAGAAATGTTCCAACGAGGGCCAATGGATTCAACCAATGACAACCACGAACAAACATTTCTTCTAAAAGGGTCTAAGACACTCTTTCTACTCCTAAACTCATGCACTGATTAGTTTTGAAGTTTGGCCCAGGAAAACCAACTCAACCACAGAATTTGCATCTCAAGTTGTGACAAAGAGTTCCATCCTTTGTTATTAATAATGAAAATGTCACTTCAAGCCCAAAGAAGGCAAGATATTACTATTTGGTTTGAAGGCAAAAAGCTGGCTTCGGCTGCTTCTTGTTCTTCCATGGAGTGGCATATCTTGGCTTCCTAGAGAGGTTCTGAGCATCCCTGTTGGGTCTTGCTCAAGAGATGCAGTAGGAACGGGAGTGAGGGGTGCAAGCAATGATTATCACCCATCTCTAGAAGGAATGACGATCTAGAATTCCTCGTTCCTCATCAAGGAACTCAAGGATCTGGTGATAAGAGCAGATCTTGGAAGCAATGCCTCCACTTAGATCTTTGACCCAATCATCTCAATTTCAGATAAAGGCTCCACTTGCTCTTCTTCTGAAGAGCCTGGAAGAGCCTGGTGCAACCAAGAAAGCCAGTCAAAGCGAAAACATGCAACTATTTTCACTTAGCTAGCTAAGAGGAATAAACAAGTGTCTTTTCTCTCTCTCTCTCTTTCTGATGGTTGGAGCTTTAGTTCAGAACAAAGGTTGGCGGCTTCCAGCTTCTGAGAGGTATGGCCTCTTGTTGTCGATAAAGTCCTTTGAAGGAAAGAACAAAGGAAAGAAACAAAGCAAGGAAATTATGGGATTGTGCTTCTTCCCAGCATAGAATGGACAGCAAAGAGATTCTGGAGAAAGTTGAAGCAATGACCAAGATGAAGAATGGACAACAGAGTTAAGCTGGAAAGAAATGCAGTGCTATAGTTTTATCATTATCATCATTATTATTTTTACAGTGCTGTGGAAATTGGGACTTAATATTGTCTCCCCTCCTCAGATCTGTGTGTTTTCTTCCTTCCTCCTGCTCTAAGGCTTTCTGAAGCAACTGTCCCATCACATGGCTACATCACCAGCAGGCAGGAAAGAGAAGAGACATGGAGAAGAAGAACCTTCAAGCATTGGGTACCGGTCTACCTGGGAAGTCTCAAAAGGCTGGAAAGACAACAGGTCTTGCCAATGAACTAGCTTAACTTTCCTTGAGACTCTACCAGTTTTCAAGAATGTACGTCCAGTATAACTTTGATGGTTTTCTATGTGGGAGGTCTCCTCAAGAGGACAGGGCTGCTTTCAATAGCAAAAGGCACCAGAGGTAGCACCTTGGAGGTCAGAGCAGGTCTCTTACATGGCTGTCAAGTCCATCTGACCTGAGTTGAGCCAATGGGCAATGGAAACCAAGGAGAACCAATCAGGGAGCTTAGAACGGGGAGAGTGAAGAAAAGGCAGTAGACAACATTGGCTGGACCTCAAGTGATGCTGAGAGGACCTCTCCTCTCTCTTGGGACAGGAGGCAAACACCTCCTGTGAGGTGTGAGGTAAACACTTTTTTCTCTCCATTCCTGAATCAGCAGCTCCCGACCATCGGAGGTACAAGCCAGCCTAGGCTTGAAGGCCAAGGAAACGGGCTGTGTTTAGCACATCATCTCTCGTGAGGTAGCAACCGCAGAGCTGGCGATATCCTGTGAAAGATTCTCGGCCGTGCAGCACTCGCCAATTGTCCACGAAGAGGGCCTACAGAAGGAACAAAAAGAAGCCAAATGAGGAAGGCTAGGTAGATAGTCAAAGGGTCATGGTGGCTCAGGGGCTAAGACGCTGAGCTTGTCAATCAGAAAGGTCGGCAGTTCGGCGGTTCGAATCCCTAGCGCTGTATATCGGAGTGAGCTCCCGTTACTTCTCCCAGCTTCTGCCAACCTAGCAGTTCGAAAGCACATAAAAAGTGCAAGTAAGAAAAATAGGGACCACTTTGGTGGGAAGGTAACAGCGTTCCGTGTGCCTTCGGTGTTTAGTCATGCCGGCCACATGACCATGGAGATGTCTTCGGACAGCGCTGACTCTTCAGCTTTGGAACGAAGATGAGCACCGCCCCCTAGAGCTGGAAACAGTTAGCACGGATGTGGTTGACCCTGGTTTTCCCCCACCCTCTGGGTGTATTGTAATTCATATTCTCCAATGGGACACATCCATAGCCAAGAGTCATCAATCATGTTCTCTAGTTAGAATTTTGTGTGGCAGAAACTTCAGTCACCTAGTTAATTATCTTTGAAAACTATTTATGGAATGTACTTTCAATTTCCAAGCTGCCGCACTGCTCCCCCCTCCTTTTCTGTTGGCAACTCTAAAAAGACCATAGAAATATTTTATGACACCCAGCAACCTGCCAGTTGTCAGTGCCTGGATTTGAGGAAGAGGAGGAACAGCTGGGTCCAGTGCCTGACGTGCGGATGCACAGAAAGCAGAAGAGAGGAGAGCAGTGGAAATCTATGGACTGGTCCTCAGGACGGAAGAACCACTGCAGCTAATGAGGCCCCACCCCAGCTCTGGCAATAAAAGGCAGGGGGCGGAGATGAATAGATGTGGCAGATAACTATTCATCTTCCATCTGGTTGGACTCGCTAGCCTGAGATAGAAAACTTTTTCCCGGGGCTGCCGGCATTCCTAATAAAGGAATCTTTTGAGTTCACTGCAGAGGGCTTTGTTGTGTTTGAGTGCCTGGATTTTGATCATGCTACAGCAGGGATGTTGCAACAGCTGTGGGTGTGAGAACGTGGTGCATTGAAGGCTGCGCTCCCAAAAGTATACAGGGCAGGAACCTGGTGTTTTGGGGGAGGGAAGGGTTGCGGGAGTGTTAAGGGGCCAAATGAGTCTTAGCCAGCTTCTCCCAACAAGCCACCTTCTAACTTACTTTGCCTGGTTTCAGTTTGACCCAGAGCTCGTTCTCGGGTCTCCGCAACTCAGTGGTGAGTGTGCGGTGTGCGATGTACCAACGGTGCACAGTTTCATGAGGCACTGTGTTAATGACAGCTCGGTCGTAATTATTGTACCTGAAGAAGAAACAGAAGACTAGTCAAATGCATTCGGTTGGAAGAGTCCCTACTAGGGATAATCACTGTTGCTGAACCCCTACAGAGAAGTGATTTCAACTATCATTGCCCAGCCATGATCAAGATGGTTTTATACATCACAGTCAGTCCCCCCAGTGGCTGGGGGATGGCTTAACCCATTGTGAACCAGGTTCATAGATGTTGTGGTTCGCCGGCAGCCTGTGCAGATGGCAGCAGAATTAGACAGTGGGGAAGAACGGGGATCAATCCGGGAGTCTGGAGAGGACTCCGATGAGGGTCCTGCATCCAATGCAGAGATGGAGCCAGGACCATCTGGGAGTGGGGTGCTGACTCTGGAGCCACAGGAGTCTGGCAGCAGCAAGGCAGAGGAACCAGGGGAGCCTGTTCCCAGTGCGCGAGCAGCTGAGACAAAAGGGGCGACTCGGGAATAAGGCTGGGAAGTGATTGCCCCTCCCCTAAGGGATAAAGGACAGGCAAAGATGACGAAACCTTTGCAGGAAGCAAAGTCGTTCGTTCAGTTCAGATTCATTCTTGAAGCTCTTTGTACTTTGGTTGGTTTTTTTTCTAGTTCATTTGGCACTTCACAGGAAAGAAAGGGGGGGCGCTTATCTCTAGGGACTGTTTGAGATTCATTACCAGCTGGGAATGAAAATAATTCCCAGCGTTGCAATAAAACAAGACTTGTTTTTAAAATGAGCCTGTGCATAATTACGGTCTCGGAAGCCTTTGTCAGAACAATAGGTAGCAATCCATAAGCCATGATTAACAATCTACATTCACATCATAGACTGAGCCAGGAACAAGTGGATTCTGCTATGGCTTAAAGCAGGGGTCCTCAACCCCCAGGCCACAGAATGAATAGAATAGAACAGAATAATGGAATGAAGAATGAATAGAGTAGAGTAGAGTAGAGTAGAGTAGAGTAGAGTAGAGTAGAGTAGAGTAGAGTAGAGTGTAGAATAGAATAGAATAAGAATAGAGTAGAACAGAATAAGAATAGAATAGAACAGAACGCAATAGAATGGAATGAATAGAATAGAATAGAATAGAATAGAATAGAATAATGGAATGAAGAATAGAATAGAATAGAATAGAATAGAATAGAATGAATAGAATAGAATAGAATAGAATAGAATAGAATAGAATAGAATAGAATAGAATAGAATTCTTTATTGGCCAAGTGTGATGGAACACGCAAGGAATTTGTCTTGAAAGCTGGAAAAGTGGGGGACCACTGACTTAAAATGCGATGTCCCAATGAAGGCAAGTCTTAGGATAAGGCCGTCCCCCTCACCTGATCAGGTAGAGCTCCTTGTTCCAGGGGTAGATATTCAAGACAGGCCCAACCCCAATCATATGGTTGCGGCAGCTTCCCATGTTCTCGATGTATTCGTGCCTCAATGGCACCTTCGTCAGAAGGTCGAAATCCTCTGGTGCTCGCTGGAGCACTTGTTCCGCGGCATAGAAACCGTCCACCAGAAGCGTCCGCCCCCCCGTGCCTTCATGCCGGAGGCAATGGAATACCTGGATGCTGAGAAGAAACACTCAGTTGGTCGTAGGAATGGAAGTCTGGAAAGGGCAGAAACCAGAAGGGACTACATTGCTCCAAAGAGTCTTCTTCAAAATTATTCTTGCAATCTTGAAATACTAGACTGATGATGTCTCTACTCTGGTATGTTATCCTGCATTGGAATTAGAAGTTAGATGGCTTAGCTTCCTTAGATGTATCTAGTCTGTCTGTCTGTCTGTCTACCATCTCTCTCTCTCTCTCTCTTATCTATCTATCTATCTATCTATCTATCTATCTATCTATCTATCTATCTATCTATCTATCTATCTATCTATCTATCTATCTATCTATCTATCTTGCTGACTATAACATCTATCCTACTGTGGTACCATGTTGTGGCATTTTTCTTTTACTCTAATATGTCTAAAATTTGTCTGAAATGGGATAGATGTTTCCTGCCTGGTCAGGGGGTTGGACCAGAAGATCTCTAAGGTTCCTTTCAACTCTGTTATTCTATTCTGTCCTGTCCTGTCCTAGCCTACTACTCTCCCCCTTGGCCACCAGTCTCGGAAAAGGAGATACAACCCTATTATTCTTATTCTATTCTTGTTCCATTATTCTTTTCTATTTCTATTTTTATTATTTTTATTATTTCTATTTCTAATTTACTCTATTCTACTCCCTCATCTGTCGTATTCTGCACACACTTCAGGTACATGTATTTGCTGATGTTTCATTTAAACTTATATTTGTGTTTGTACGTCTAATGTGCTTTATTAGTGTTGTATATCAGTGACTGCATGGCCTCTGTAGATGCTATACAGGTAATTCTGGACTCACAAGCACAACTGAGTCCAACATTTCAGTTGCTAAGCTGCTGTTGGTGGAAATGTTCTTAGTTATTCCTCGATGAAGCTGTTGTTTACTGTTTGATTGCTTGCCTGAGTTGATCTAGCATTCCTCTTGCTGTTAATCACCAGGGTCATTGACCGAGATCCACTCAGAGTCATTGAAAGAGATGGCTGGCCACAGAAATTGAATACACAAATAATTAATCTCTGCTTATCTGGATGTTGATTAATACCAGGTCAACAATATTAGACCAACAATCAGGAAGTAAACAATACTCCATCAAGGAACTACCATACCAATGGCAGATCAAGCCACTTGTAAGTGAAAGGAAAGGAAACCTCACTCCCTTCTAGCACTGATGAGGTTACCTAGTTGGATAATGAAATATCTGCAAGGACACAACCTAAGTGTTGTGGCCCGGTGCCGGTGGCTAGTGGAGCTGGCAGCAGAGTCGGGCAGTGAGGAGGTTGGGGAGGAACCTGGGCCAATCCTGGAGGCTGAGGAAGTCTCGGAGGAGGGTTCTGCGCCAGAGGCAGAGATGGGGTCAGGGCAGTCTGGCAGTTATCAGCTGCCTTCGGGCTCAGACAGCAGTGAGGCGGGGGAGCAGCTGGAGCCTGTTCCCAGCCTGCGCATGCACAGAGCTGCCAGGAGAAGGGAACAAGGGTCGACTTGGGAGTAAAGCCACAGGTGGACGGTGAATGGCCCCCCTCATAGGGATTAAAAGAGGAGCAAAAGGGGAGGAGGCTTTTGCAGGAAACAATTCATATGTTGCAGCAGGGTGAAGATCTGCCTGTGCATCTCGGAGACTCTGTGCTGTGTCCTTCCTTGTCAGCACTGCATTTGGAAAACATTTACTTGGCAGCTCTCCAAGCTAGATAAGGCCTGTGCTCCTAATTACACCCTTGACAGACTGTTTGCCAGGCCTTTGGCTGAAGGTGAATGCAAGAAATTCACCTTCGTTTAATAAAAAGGGTTTTGCCGGGACAAAGAGTCTGCTTAGTGATTTTGGGGGAAGACTAGGTCAGAAAACCACGCTCAGAGAGCACCGCCCCCCCTCCCCCACAAAATAAACAGTACCCATATGATTCAGTTTGAGGTCAGCAAAACATTTTGAGGTTCCAGTGCCTGACTCCTGAGCAATGTTTCTCAAGATAGGAGAGGCACTATGAGATACCGTGTCAGAATGGCCCATATCACCAGCTACAGTCATCTTATTTGTGGTGTTCTGCCTCTTTGGCAAATTGGCTCGTACCCACAAGGTTCCTGAAAGTAAGTGGTATCTGTATGACGGTCCAAAGCCAGTTTGGTGTATGCAGTATCTCCACGGGAGAAGTCAGAGGTGAAATACCACATCCTGCCATAAATAGTTTCTCTAGAGGAAAAGGAAACAAAAAATGAGAGATGGCGGCAGAGAAACACAGAGAGAACCAATATTGAGTTTTACAGAGCTGGAAGGGACCTTGTAGGTCATCTAGGTCAACCCCTTGCCCAAGCAGGAGACCCTGCCCCATTTCTGACTGATGGCAGTCCAGTCTCTTCTTGGAAGCTTCCAGTGATGGAGCTCCCACAACTTCCGAAGGCAACTTCTGTTCCATGGGTTAGTTGTTCTGTCAGAAAATTCCTCCTTATTTCCAGGTTGAATCTCTCCTTGTTCAGTTTCCATCCATAATTCCTTGTCTGGCCTTTGGGTGCTTTGGAAAATAACTTGACCCCCTCCTCCTCTCTGTGGCAGCCCCTCAAATATTGGAAGACTGCTCTCCTGTCTCCCTTGGTCCTTCTCTTCCCTAGACTACCCAGGCCCAGTTCCTGCAACCGTTCATCGTATCTTTTAGCTTCCAGTCCCCTAATCATCCTGGTTGCCCTTCTCTGCACTTTTTCTAGAGTCTCAACATCTTTTTAATAGTGTGGTGACCGAAACTGGATGCAGTATTCTAGATGTGGTCTTACTAAGGCTTTATAGAGTGGTATTAATACCTCACTTGATCTTGATTGTATCCCTCTGTTAATGCAACTTAGGATTGCATTGGCTTTTTTGGCTGCAGCCACACATTGCTGGCCCATATTTAGCTGGTTGTCCACTAAGACTCCAAGATCCCTCTCACAGTTCCTGCTATTGAGCCTGGTTTCACCCAGTCTAGGTGTGTACTTTTGGTTTTTCTTGCCTAACTGTAGGACTTTTCTCTACATTAAATTTCATTTTGTTAGACAGGGTCCAGTGTTCAAGTCTGTCAAGATCCACCTGGACACCAACTCTTGCTACAAAGTGTGGATCTTCTGGATAAAATTAAAAGCATAATTGTCCGTGACACTATTCCAGTTCACAGTAACATCTGGAAACACGGAACTTGTCTTCCTTTGGCCAGGAATGATTCCAGCTGTTTCAATCCTGAAGGGTGGGCTATTATACAGTACAGGTGTTCCTTGCCTTACAACAGTTCACTTAGTGACAGTTCAAAGTTACAACAGCCCTGGAAAAAGTGGCTTAGGACCGTTTCCCCGCATTTATGATCCTTGCGGCATTCCCATGGTCACCTGGTCAAAATTCGGACGCTTGGCAACTGACTCATATTTATGATGGTTACAGCATCCTTGGGGGTCACGCGCAGGGGTTTGTCTGCTAGGGGTTTGCAGGGGTTCAAGAGAGCCCCTAGCTAGGATTCTGGGCAGTTTGGAGAATCCCCAAATCCCACTCCTGGCTGGCCCCACCCTCCCCTCCCCTCCCCTCCCAGGAGTCCCCACACGGCCATTTTGGATGTAGGTTAAGTGCAGGGAGCGCTTGGAGGCTCAGGGAGGGTGAAAAACGGCCCTCACGGAAGTTCGGGAAGGCTGGAAATGGGCCCCTTTCCAGCTTCCAGAGAGTGTCATGCCCCTGTCGGAATCTGAATCCGAGGAGGAAGACGAACAGCTGATAGGGAGTGGGAGTGTGGTTCCATTGGCTGTGGAGGAAACTGGGGAAGGGTCTGGCTGTTCAGAGCAGGGGAGAGGTAGAACAAGGGAGAGGGAATTTAGAGGAAGACCTGGGCCCACCCCCTCTTCATCCTAGGGAACGCAGGGAGGAATGGAGAAGAGAGCAATGTGGGTTGTGTGGCTTACGGGGGAGGAAAGGGCCCTGATTCCTTTCATTAGCCACAGCTGGGAAGAGAGTTTAAAAGAGATGCATGCTGAGTGCGGCAGCTGGTGGGAGCAAACGTGAGTTTATCTTGTGTTGACTTTAGTTATCTGCGTTCCTGGCATCCTCCCGTGTTGAATTACTACCGTTCCTTCTCCTGCCCTGCCAGACTAATTACCTCATTTTGCTTTCATTGGACTTATAGTTACCGTTTGTGTTGACCATGTTTTGGACTTGATTCTCTGCAGCCAAAGGCTGTTCCTGGGAGAATTTTTCTCCAGCCCAGAAGGTAACCAGGACATTGGGGGCAAAGTTGGAGCTAATAAAGGACTCCTACTGATTAGCTGACTTGTGTTGCCTTTGTGCCACGCCCCTTTGGGTCATCTCACAGAGCTTCTGGAGCCCAGAAAGCCTCCAGAGCCCAGAGAGGGCAAAAATACCCCCCCTTCTGGTAGTGCAGGAGGCTGACTAGGCCATGCCCACCATGGACATGTCCACCCAGCAACTGGGCAAAGAAACCATTGCTAAAATTTTTGAAGCCCAGCCCTCGGTCACGTGACCCCCACTTTTGCAGCTTTCTCCTAAACAAAGTCAATGGGGAAACCAGATTCACTGAACAACTGTGTTACTCGCTTAACAACTGCAGTGATTCACTTAACAAGTACGGCAAGAAAGCTTGCAAAAAGAGGCAAATTCACTTAACAAACATCTTGCTTAGCAACAGAAGTGTTAGACTCAATTATGGCCGAGGATTACCTGAACTGACAGAATTGCAGGTAAGTCAGATGAATCTCTTTAATTGTGATCAGGGGTTTAAATGATCAGGGGTTCTTGTCACTCTTCTGAATGGCTTGCTATAGCAAGTTACACACCCACAATGCAACACCAGCCCTTAACATGGCTTCTCAATGAATAGAACTGGGGCAATGGTTTGAGATACCTCATTGCTGTTATCCTTATTATGCAGAGATTAAATTCATTGCGGTTTAAATGTGATTTTTTTTTTTTACTAACCCACTATATGTGCTTTGTTTGCAAATCAGCGTTATCTTTCATTCAAATGCAAGGGGAAATCCTTAAAAAAAAAAAGCAGCTGTAAGCTGTACATCTCACAGAAATCTACTGCAATCTGCTAGAATAGGTCGAGATATTTGATAAGGCAACAGTTCTGAACTTGGAGAAGCAAACGTTTGCATTTAATGCCAGCGTGATGCATTTTGGAAATTCCCAGATTAAAAGGGAAAAAAAAAGGCTTTTTCGAAATAATTTAGGCTGAGGGTTAGCAATCTGGGCAGAGAAGGAGAAGAAAGGAGCAAGGAACCATTGCAAATCCCTTTTTCTTAAGACGCCTGGTCAATTCAAGGTCAGCCTGGCAATTTAATTTTAATTAGATGTGTGGGATGTGTTTCTTTGCCCTTTCCTCCCTAGCAGAGAGACCTCTTTTGATCTTCAGATCTCCCAGGACTTAAGGCTGCCCTTTCAATCTGCTCTGTCAAAACAGGAAACAGGGCCACCCTGCCACAAGATCTTGCTTCTTTTCTTTTTCGCTCAAGATCTTTTACTGCCTTTCAGAAAAACTAGATTTTTGCTAGAACTGCGCACTACTAGCCTGCAAACGGTAGACTTTAATATCTTATGATTCTTGACAAATGTATCTTTTCTTTTAGGTATACTGAGAGCATTTGCACCAAGACAGATTCCTTGTGTGTCCATTCTATTCTATATTCTATTCTATTATTATTCTATTCTGTTATTCTATTCTATTGTTATTATTCTATTCTATTCCATTGTTATTATTCTATTCTATTCTATTCTATTCTATTCTATTCTATTCTATTCTATTCTATTCTATTCT